AATATAAATATATATTAATAGTTAAACTTACGAAAGGAACATAAGTGAAAGTTAGAATTTTTCATTTATAAAGATATACTGTACTGCAAGTCTACTTTGGATGAATTCATATTTTAACTACCTAAATATATATAGATTCCTCATTAATTTTTGATTTGAAAAGAGGCAAAACAGATTGTAAAGTATTACTATACATGAGAATTACATATAATCAAGTAAAGAGCTAAAGTAATGTGTGTATTCATGTTTTTCCTCTTTTAAGACATTGGATATGTCGTTAAAGTTGCATTATTTGAAGGAATAAGTTAGTGTTATTCCATTATGTTATTTATCTCATCTAATACTCTTAAGAAAAAAAAGAGTAAAATGACAGGTAATGTTGCAAAGAAATAAAAAACTTTCATTAATTAAAAAAATTACAGGTAGTCGTATAGACGGTTCTCCCACTCAGCTTCAAATTTAAGAACATAAACCCAAAAAGGTTCACTTGGCCAAACCTCGTGATAAATGTCAGTTAAAATACTACCTAAAGGTTGTCCAAGTGAATCTACTAAAATTGATAAGGCTTCCCAATCATATAGTATAATTTGTCTATGGCATCAATTAGTGCATCTCGAGTAAGCTGATAATTTGCAATATGTACATCTAGTGCAGGCCTAAGCTCTCTAAATTTCTTTTCTCTTTCCCTTCGTTCAGCCCTTCGATCTCTTAGCTTATTTTGTATCGCCCTTGGGACATTCCTGATAATTTCAGGCTTTGAGTCTGAAGCATTATAGGAATAAATGTTGCGACGGCGTACCCTTGTACGTTGTCCCCTTCGTTGAATTTGAGCACTTGTAGTTGGAGTAATTTGAACGTGTCCTTATTCATCCATATCTGAAATAGGACCAAGAAAACAATAAGAATAGCTACAACATGTCAATATGATAACATAGTACATGCATATTATTTTGAAACTTGCTCCTTAGTAGATATAGCTCAGCCAGTAGCGTCTCAAAGCACTCAGAAATTTGAGAGACAATGATGTTCTTTCTTGAGAGGACTGCTAAAAGGATAGTGACATGCTAATAGAAACACTTAATTGTTGAATTGGATAGAATAAGGAATCCAGGATACTAACATTTAAATTAATTCCAATATGAGTATTTAGCTACGCAGCCTAATTTAAGTTAGTATACTAATAAGTTGACAACACCAATAGACTTGTACATACTAAATTCCAATAGATCACATAAAATTTAGTATATTCATGTCCATGATACTATACTATATTGCAAAAAAAAAACAGTAATGAAATCGAAAAACAGTTATTCCAAATCTGTTATACCAAAAAGATACTCTGTAAGCAACAAATCGAAAAAACAGTTATTCCAAAAAGACCCTATGTAACCAACAATTATGTAAATTGCAAATCTGCAAACAGTGGATTAAATTTTATACCGTTATTATCGGGAGAAAATTTACAGACTTGAGGCTATCGTGATTTTGCAGAATTTTTTTTTTACGTAATATTGTCGGACTCTCCTCTGTTTTTCGTTGTTCTCTGAATTTTTCTTGTTTTAACGCCTCCTTTATTATGTCCTTTTATAATATCATGTGATTAATATAGTGGGAAAGTGGTTATAGTGGGTAAGTGGGGAGGATTTGTGAAGGGAGATGTGAAGTAGAGGGTTGAAAACGTGGGGGGTTAACGTGGGGGGTTAAAAACTGCATATTGAAATTGGTTATAATTAAAAGTGTAACGAAAACAGAAAAAAGTTCTAACCTTTTTGCACGCTTTAGTTGTCTTTTGTTATTGATAATCTTTGTGCCCTCTTGTTTGTATTGATTGCGACGTACTTAACAACTGTTATTTCATTTAGAAATTGGTTTGCGGCTGATACATATAGTTAGGATTCTGCTTGTCTGTATCCAAGGAGTTGTTAGTAGTTCTTCATGTCTAAGCAACAATGTGTTAGTATGTAAGAAATCTTGCTCTATATATTACGTAAACTTCTATCAGTGTTGCAGAATTATGATAATGTTTTTGCAGTATGGAAAGTTAAAGGTTGAAAGCAGTATTTCATGATTCATTATGTGACCAAGGGTTTTTTTTTCTGTTGGGCTATGTTATTAACACAAACACAAGAAAAGTGCAGATTTTTATTTCCCAGAAATGAACTTACTGCAATAGGCTTGTTTATATGCGCAGATAATTTTAAAGGGAAAAAGAGCGGAGGGATATATTAGAAACAGATGTATATTGCTACAAAAGTACTTGGCTTAAAAGAGATTAGTCCACCTGAAAAAGTAAAATTTTTTGTCTCAAGTTATGATTAAAAAAAATAAAGGAAAGTTAAGCACATCTATAATTCACAGTAATTAAGACAACACCTTTTGATGTGTTGTACTTTGGATCAGAAGTATATGAGAACATGAGCAACTAAGTTATGTTGGTCGATGATATAAACGACGACTCGCATGGATAATCAAGATCTCAAAAATACTCAATCCTGGTTAGCGGAATCTATATAACAGTTTTAAGTCTTAGATGAAATTCATACAATCAAAACATTAATTCTCATCAAGATTTTATGCCAATTACCGACATAGCAGTGATAGCTACATGAAGGATTAATAAGACAACACAGTTCTAGAAATACAAAGGATCAACCTTGCAAATGTCGTCATGTTACTCAAGAGCCTTGTGATTAAAGACTTGATGAACTTTGACTTCATGTATAGTCCAACAACTGAAGCTCTACTTAAATCCCTGGAGCTGTTGTTTAAGCTTAGTGCCCTTGATGAGGATGGTAAGTGAACCAAAGTGGGTGAAAAAATGGCTGACTTTCCTCTGGATCCCATGCTGTCCAAGATGATTATTGCCTCTGACAAGTAGAAGTGGTCTGCGGAGATAATAAGCATTGCTGCATTTCTTTCTGTGGGGAATTCACTGTTCTATCATCCAAAGGACAGACAAGTCCAGGCTGACAATTCCGCCAATCACATCTAAATAATAAGAATATATTACAATGAGAGGCAGAAAAAAGATAATTTTATTAGAATTTTGAGGTAAAAGCTATATTTAGCAAATAATTCAGTCTCGTCCAAATGAACCTTAGTTATCAATTGGTCATAGGGCCCCCGATCAAAGACATCCATTGGTAAAAGTGGATCCGGCCCTTTCCCGGATCCCACGCATAGCTAGAACATAGTGCACCGGATTGCCCTTTTATATCAAAAATTACGTACGGGTTCAGCCAAATCCAATGAACCCAATAACTAAAATGAACTATGAGTTATGCGGCAAATTCAGAAACCACTAAATTTCAAATTCCAACTCCGCATGTGGCTAAGCCAACCTGAATTCAGCAAATAAGTAGCAATTGTTTGCATTTCTTTGACAATATATAAAGGAATATTAGTTCTAACCATTAGATCAAATATAGAAGTATTTTTTGAAAGATACCAAACTCATGCAAAGATATCTCAAGTAAGGAGTAAATTTTGTCGCAGTCACACAATACAATTAAGCTTACTGCTGACATTGACAAAAAATAACTTCTAACACTCTTCTGTTAAGAGAAGATAGATTGCCTCTATTCTCAAACAGAGAAGCCTACTATAATGTGTTTATACATGTATTAATATGTGATTGCCCTTTTATATCAAGCTAGTCGTGCAAGAGTCATCTATGTCATCTGAATTAATAAAATAACACAAATCCAAGCTGACAATTCCGCCAATCACATCTAAATAATAATAATATATTACATTGAGAGGCAGAAAAAAATAATTATTAGAATTTTGAGGTAAAAGCTAAATTTAGCAAATAATTCAGTCTCGTCCAAATGAACCTTAGTTATCAATTGGTCATAGGGCCGCCGATCAAAGACATCCATTGGTATAAGTGGATCCGGCCCTTTCCCGGATCCCACGCATAGCTACAACTTAGTGCACCGGATTGCCTTTTTATATCAAAAATTACGTACGGGTTCAGCCAAATCTATTTTTTGTGACAAACGCTAAAGTTCGCTATAACATATAATCCAAACTCATTAAGTTGTGTTTTCAAATGAAGCAGCACGGACATGCCAATAGAAGATTGTATCCGATCGTCGTAAAAGAAATCACATTAAATAGATACATATAGTTGAACTTAGAACGAACAACTCACAACTTAACAACGGAGAACGGTATTTTTTATTTTATCTCCGGTAATAATAGAAGTTGGTATTTTCAATATTATTTCGATAAAAACAGGTAGAGATTATAAAGAAGGCATAAATTAGGAAAATAGCCAAAACGTTAACAACATTCAAATAATGTAAAAGCATAAGGAATAAGTGGAATGAAGAGGGACAACATGGGCAGAGGTGCAAAACACTGAAGCAATGAAAGGAAATAATATTTTTATGAAACTGAAGAAAAGAAAAAACACAGCGACAAAGAGAGAATGGGTAAGTACCAAAATAGAAATAGAAGGTTACATGCTGAGAAAAAATAAAAAAATGTGGAGATAGCATGTAATTCGAGTGAGAAAGTTTCGAACTTTTAACTAACCTAAGCTCTCATTATGGCAGAGTTATAACCGTTTATCATTCCTTTTTCCTTAAACGTTGAAGCAGTAGCCCAGTTGAAGTAACTACAATTTGATTCAGAATTTGATGTAGGTCCCTTGAAGAGAATGTATATTTTAAAGAGAATTTAGCATGACAGAAGAATTGAAATACAACTTCTTATTAGACAACTTGCTGAGACAACTACTTATTCATATTGCGGAAAACATAATTAGTGCAAGCCATAGAAAATACAGTTTTTAAATAAAAAGATGATATCTACTTAAACAAATTGGAAAAAAGTGCAAGTCTCAAAATCAGTTCAAGAGTATTTTCCAATGAAACAGAACGAAACAGTAAAATTATTATACTGAGAAAAGCCCTCATCCTTTTCATTTTGATAAGCAAAGAAGTACCTTTAGTCAATAGTACCGAGAAAGTGCAAAAATAATTATTTTCTTTACAATGATGGGAGAGCAAGAAATTACACTGAAACTCTTTTAGCTAAGTAAAGAAGTCCTTAAAGATTATATAAGTATCCAGATTATGTCCGTTATATAATTGAACTATTAACCCAAATATTGTAAGAACAAAAAGTGAATTATTGTAGTATATTGAAATCTTCTACAACCAATCGAGAAAGTAGGTTTAAAAATGCGCGAACAGCATAACAACAATTGCAGATTTTGCTACTTAAAATAATTGTAAGTAAAAGAAATTGATTTTTAATACCTTTTCATCTTGTAGAACCAATTCAATGGAGAAATTAGTGTCTGAATTGTAACAATCCGGGGCTTCCCATAGACGAACAACCCGACATTTCAACTTCTGTTGCATCCTCGAAATTGTTATATCCTTAATGAAATAAATGTGAGTAGCCATCTTTTGCATAAGCCCTAAGTTAACTTAAAATCAAATGACATCATTAGGAAGGATAGAATTGAAGTAGCGTGTATTATTGGAAGAAATATAACTTTGCGAGTTCTTTGTTAGTAGATGTAAACATTAAGAAGTTAATAGTTAAAAGTATCTGAAAATAGTAACAACAAATGATGATGAGATAAAAGTTAAGCATACCAATTGAAGTTGTCAACTATTGTTTCTGAAGTTTATTTCCAATATGGTTTAGCAAAGACAGAAGCATGAGAACCAAAAATGTACCACAAAAGATTATTCCAGTGTAGTACTTGAAAAACAGATGTTTGCTAAAAGGGCAGATGCTTCAAAACAACAAAATCAAACGATGCAACTTCAGCCATTTGTTGCATGAAGAACAAAATCAAATGATGCAACTTCAGCAGTTTGCTGCGTCAAGGTAAAAGTGGTCTAGTTGAGTAGAAACTGTCGTAGGGCTGAGAAGTTGTAAAGGCGTGTGTTTATTGCAGTTGACGAAACAGGGCCAATTACTGCGCCTCTTTTTCATTGGAATAATGCGCCTCTTTTTTCGCTTTTAAGGGCAAATTATTAATTAATTGTAATTTTTTTAATTAATTCTATAATTAATATAAATCACAGTATTTTATTATTCCAAATCGATAATTAAACATTATTTCACACGCCTTACTTGCCTTATTAAGGGAGTTTTTGTGTCGTCATGTCCTGCTGTCCGCCTTCTTTCGCGGGAACTTTAGATATTTCGATTGTAGGCTTCCTCCATATTAAATTGCCATTTATAACAATCATTATAGGATGACATGGCTGTATTCTCACTCAGGTGATATACTCTAGAGGAGATACTCGAGGTGAATATAGCTAGGTTTGACATTGCTTTATGAGGCATATTCTTCAAACATATTGGTATAATTTAGTAGCCCCCAGGTTGAGTAGGGTCAGTGGCTTTTGGTGTTCCATTACCGTATCTCCTTTAACAGGCATGGTTCTTTGTACTAATATGGAGACATCGAGCAGAAATTGGTTTCCAAGACTCAATACATTTCTCAGTAAGAGCTGAAAGTTATGGAGAAAAAACTATTTTTAGTTTTCATTAAGCTAAGAAAGCGAATCATGTATATGCTTACCTAATCAAGCTTTTTAAGATAATGTTACTCATGAAAAGCACCCCTGAGATGGAAAAGAAAACAAAGACATGGGTGCTATTTGTAGTTTCTTCCATTTTAGAAGCATATTTGTCTGTTGGTTTGGGAACAAATTGAAGTAGTCTTGTGTACTTAGACCTCTATGTTCGGTATATGTCCAAAGTTATTGTCTGGAACAACAAGTGTTTTCTCGTAGTTTTCTGTTCGGATATTGACTATTTACTAAAATATAATTACATAAACAGTAATGTGAGTTCTAATAACAGAAAGGACCATGAAAAGTTTTAAATATCTTGTCCATTGAAATCTCCACATTAAGTAAAACTGAAAAGTTAAACAGGAGAAGAAAGGTGAAATGATTCAAATATACTGTTCATAACTAATAAGACTACTAATAATATACTAAATTAACTAATCAAACAGTTCTTCATTTCTCCAACTGTAACATTCCCAAACACCTTATGTTGTTTTCTTCTTCTTAAATACTCTTTTGATTTTATTTCCTGACAATTGTGCATTCGGATCTTCTTCAACCATTGTTGCGGCATTAGTTATACCTATCTTGGCAGGTGTATGTGCAATATCGGTTAAGTCGTTATCTTCAGTGGAATCCTGCATATATAAAATACAAAATTAGTGTAAATCAGTAATGAACATATAGTTACTACAGATTTATTAATTTATGCCCTACAAATAATTTAATCAAAAGAATGAATAATCTAAAAAATATTAATACTGTGTTCATAGATTCCTATAGAAAAAACAAAGTGAATATCTAGAACTTTTAAAGTTATAAAAAACCTACTCCAAATCTGAAAATTTATTCAGAAAGAAATCCTTCAAGATATGAAAGTAGCTTTAATGTTAAAGGACAAATTAGTTATATATTTACCTCTGTAACGACCCGACCCATCGTTACGGGAGTTACCGTCCCGTTTTCCCCGTTTTATGCTTCTATATGTTTCATTATGTGTGTGTGGAAAATTTGAAGTAATTCGGATAGAGTTCGGTTAGAAATGAGATAATAAGTCTCTTTATGAGAAGGTTAGTTTGGAAAAGTCAACCGAATGTTGACTTATGAGTTAGAAGGCTCGGAATGGATTTCTGATGATTTGACTAGTTTCGGGGGATGATTTGTGACTTAGGAGCGCAATCGGAATTTAATTTGGAGGTCCGGTGTAGAATTAGGCTTGAATTGGCTAAGGTTGGATTTTGGCGAATTCCGGATGGCAGGTGAGATTTTGATCCGAGGGTCGGAATGGAATTCCGAGAGTTGCAGTAGCTCCGTTAGGTGATTTTGGATATGCGTGCAAAGTTTCAGATCATTCGGAGGTGTTTAGGTCGGGTTTTAGATCAAATGCAAGTTTCGGAAGTTTTAGTTTAACTTAGGCTTGAATCCGTGGGAATTCGATGATTTTGGTGTTTATGATAGTGTTTTTATGTTACGAGCAAGTTTGAATGAAGTAATAGAACATATCTGTGCATTTGGTTGAGGTCCCGAGGGCCTCGGGGTAATTTCGGATAGCTAACGGGGAGTTTAAACTGTGAAATTTGCAGCAGAAAATGCAGCAGCAGTGCAGACCTGTTTTGGCCTTCGCGTTCGCGAAGGCAGGTTCGCGTTCGCGTAGTATTAGCAGCTGAAGCATCGCGTTCGCATGCAGAGTAACGCGTTCGCGTGAAGGATTTTGAGGAGAGGACTTTGGCCTCCGCGTTCGCGTCTAGGGGCCTCGCGATCGCGTAGGGGAAGCTGGTGAACCATCGCGTTCGCGTAAAGGAGGATCGCGTTCGCGTAAGTGAAGGACCCAGGCCTTCGCGTTCGCGTGGATGAAGCCGCGTTCGTGAAGGGCATTTTTGGCAGAGTGATAATTTGGTCATCGCGAACGCGGGAGGACCATCGCGTTCGCGTAGAGTAAAATACCTGGACAGAAGGGTTTTAAAATAATATTTCATCCGCGACCCTTTCATATTTTTCCTCCATTGTTGACGTTCTTAAGAGCTTTGGGCAAGGAAATTCGAGGGTTTTGACTGAGAATCACTTGGAGGTAAGTTCCTTGGCCTAAATATTCGAGTTTATGGTAGAAATTACATAAAAATGGTGGAAAATTCATCAAATGGGTTAAGTTAGGGCTTGAGAAAAATAGGATGAAAAAGTGGAATTTGGAAGGTCAAACGAACTCCGATTTTGACGAACTTTATATGTACGGACTCGTGGCGAGACGAGGAATCTGTTGGTGTGATTTTCAGAATTTTTCGAGAAGTGGGCCCGGGGCTCGGGTTTTACCAACTTCGTGAATTTTAGTACTTTTCGAGTATTTTTGATTGGGTTATGTTTCTTTAACCCATATTTATATATTCGTTGTGATTTTGACTAGATTCGACGCGCGAGGAGGTTGATACGAAAGGAAAAAGCATTGCGGACCATTCTACGGCCGGTTAGAGGTGAGTAGTTGGTGTATATGATGGCCTGAAGGTTTGAAACCCCGGCTAATCACATTGTGACGCTATGTTAGGGCGTGACTCGCACCCCATGGCAGGTGCGGGATTGGTTATGACTGGGGATTGAGACTTAGTCCATCCCGAACAAGAATATTTCCATATTGGCGACTGATACGCACCCTGTATTGAATATGTCCGGGCTTATTGCCGTGTTTGGGGCCTTGTGCCGATCTGTAGCATCCTTAGAGGATGATTGTCATTGTGATAGCATGCTTTGTATAATCATTGATCTCAGTCCTGTGTTTAATCACTATTATGAAACGCTAAGTCTATTTTCCTGAAGTTAAATATCTAAAGTATATTCTTCTTAATAAATTGGAAATTGGGAAATTAATTGAATCTGTTACGTGACTCACATGCATATTGTGGACTGAGTATGGATCGGGCTGCACGCCGCAGCGAATGATATGATTATATTGCGCTTGGGCTGAAGGAGCCCCTCCGGAGTCTGTACACACCCCTAGTGAGCGTCGTCGACGTTAAATGGATCGGGCTACGCGCCGTAGCGGTCATGTGCATTGCATTGCATCATTACATTTTACTTGACTGTTATATTTGAAGTTGTTTTGCTGTTGGTTCATAGTAAGGTGTAGGACTGTTAGTGTTAGCTTTGCTTTGTGGTATTTCGTGGATTTCTTATCTTCAGACATTTTATATGCTTATTACTCACTGAGTCGGTAGTACTCACCCCTACTCCCTGCACCTTGTGTGCAGATTCAGGTACACTGGAGGCTTAGCTGAGCAGTCTTTGTTTCCCAGAGCTTATCAGAGTTGTTGAGGTAGCTGCTTGACGTTCGCAGGACCTGACTACTCTTCCTATTTCAGTTTTATTTATATATACATTTCCAGACTTGAGTATTTTCGTTCAGATATTGTTATTCAGATTGTTTTAGAGGCTCTAGACTCGTGACCCCAGGTCTTTGGGAGTGTTTTATCAGACTTCATGTTTTTCTTAGTATTATTCTTCGATAAATATTGGATTATTATTCTAAAACTATTATATTCTCTTGAAATTGTCGGTTTTGAGGTTTACGGTTGAATTGGGGACGATTGTGGTCTGGCTTGCCTAGCAATATTGTTGGGCGCCATCACGACCGGGTTTTGGGGTCGTGACAAGTTGGTATCAGAGCCTAGGTTACTAGGCCTCTCGAGTCATGAGCCGATTTAGTAGAGTCTCGCGGATCGGTATGTAGACGTCTGTATCTATCCTCGGGAGGCTACAGAACCTTTAGGAAACACTTCACTTTCTTGAAATTCATATCGTGCGGCTTGTTATTATGAAAACTAAATTTCTGTATCCTATTCTCTCGCAGATGGCGAGAACCCATGCTAACGGACGTGGCGGACGACCACCATTGCCACCTAGAGGCCGTGGTCGCGGTAGAGGCAGGGCAGCAGGGACAGCACCTACTGACCCACCAGTTGACCAGACTCAGGGTCAGATTCCAGCACCAGTTGACCAAGCTCAGGGTCAAATTCCAGCTGTAGATGCTCCAGCAGCACCTGTTCAGGCACCGGCAGTGCCCATCGTGATTCCTGGTCTCCAAGAGGCTTTGGCTCAGATCTTGTCCGTCTGCACTGGCTTGGCTCAAGCGGTTTCAGCTACTACAGCGGTGGCTACTTCTCAGACTGGGGGTGGTCATCAGACCCCCGATGCTCACACACCCGAGCAGGTTGTTCAGGGCTTACAGACACCTGGGGTAGCTCTAGCTCAGCCAGTTCAGCCAGCTGCACCAGTTGCAGCAGTTGTTCCAATTGCGCCAGTCGCACCAACTCCAGCTCATGTGGTTCCAGCTATGCCGGATGACGAGCAGCGTCGGTTGGAGAGGTTCGGTAGGCTTCAGCCCCNGTTTGGAAAAGTCAACCGAATGTTGACTTATGAGTTAGAAGGCTCAGAATGGATTTCCGATGATTCGACTAGTTTCGGGGGATGATTTGTGACTTAGGAGCGCAATCGGAATTTAATTTGGAGGTCCGGTGTAGAATTAGGCTTGAATTGGCTAAGGTTGGATTTTGGCGAATTCCGGATGGTAGGTGAGATTTTGATCCGAGGGTCGGAATGGAATTCCGAGAGTTGCAGTAGCTCCGTTAGGTGATTTTGGATATGCGTGCAAAGTTTCAGATCATTCGGAGGTGTTTAGGTCGGGTTTTAGATCAAATGCAAGTTTCGGAAGTTTTAGTTTAACTTAGGCTTGAATCCGTGGGAATTCGATGATTTTGGTGTTTATGATAGTGTTTTTATGTTACGAGCAAGTTTGAATGAAGTAATAGAACATATCTGTGCATTTGGTTGAGGTCCCGAGGGCCTCGGGGTAATTTCGGATAGCTAACGGGGAGTTTAAACTTTGAAATTTGCAGCAGAAAATGCAGCAGCAGTGCAGACCTGTTTTGGCCTTCGCGTTCGCGAAGGCAGGTTCGCGTTCGCGTAGTATTAGCAGCTGAAGCATCGCGTTCGCATGCAGAGTAACGCGTTCGCGTAGAGGAATTTTGAGGAAGAGGAACTTTGGCCTCCGCGTTCGCGTCTAGGGGCCTCGCGATCGCGTAGGGGAAGCTGGTGAACCATCGCGTTCGCGTAAAGGAGGATCGCGTTCGCGTAAGTGAAGGACCCAGGCCTTCGCGTTCGCGTGGATGAAGCCGCGTTCGTGAAGGGCATTTTTGGCAGAGTGATAATTTGGTCATCGCGAACGCGGGAGGACCATCGCGTTCGCGTAGAGTAAAATACCTGGACAGAAGGGTTTTAAAATAATATTTCATCCGCGACCCTTTCATATTTTTCCTCCATTGTTGACGTTCTTAAGAGCTTTGGGCAAGGAAATTCGAGGGTTTTGACTGAGAATCACTTGGAGGTAAGTTCCTTGGCCTAAATATTCGAGTTTATGGTAGAAATTACATAAAAATGGTGGAAAATTCATCAAATGGGTTAAGTTAGGGCTTGAGAAAAATAGGATGAAAAAGTGGAATTTGGAAGGTCAAACGAACTCAAATTTTGACGAACTTTATATGTACGGACTCGTGGCGAGACGAGGAATCTGTTGGTGTGATTTTCGGAATTTTTTGAGAAGTGGGCCCGGGGCTCTGGTTTTACCAACTTCGTGAATTTTAGTACTTTTCGAGTATTTTTGATTGGGTTATGTTTCTTTAACCCATATTTATATATTCGTTGTGATTTTGACTAGATTCGACGCGCGAGGAGGTTGATACGAAAGGAAAAGGCATTGCGGACCATTCTACGGCCGGTTAGAGGTGAGTAGTTGGTGTATATGATGGCCTGAGGGTTTGAAACCCCGGCTTATCACATTGTGACGCTATGTTAGGGCGTGACTCGCACCCCATGGCAGGTGCGGGATTGGTTATGACTGGGGATTGAGACTTAGTCCATCCCGAACAAGAATATTTCCATATTGGCGACTGATACGCACCCTGTATTGAATATGTCCGGGCTTATTGCCGTGTTTGGGGCCTTGTGCCGATCTGTAGCATCCTTAGAGGATGATTGTCATTGTGATAGCATGCTTTGTATAATCATTGATCTCAGTCCTGTGTTTAATCACTGTTATGAAACGCTAAGTCTATTTTCCTTAAGTTAAATATCTAAAGTATATTCTTCTTAATAAATTGGAAATTGGGAAATTAATTGAATCTGTTACGTGACTCATATGCATATTGTGGACTGAGTATGGATCGGGTTGCACGCCGCAGCGAATGATATGATTATATTGCGCTTGGGCTGAAGGAGCCCCTCCGGAGTCTGTACACACCCCCAGTGAGCGCCGTCGACGTTAAATGGATCGGGCTACGCGCCGTAGCGGTCATGTACATTGCATTGCATCATTACATTTTACTTGACTGTTATATTTGAAGTTGTTTTGTTGTTGGTTCATAGTAAGGTGTAGGACTGTTAGTGTTAGCTTTACTTTGTGGTATTTCGTGGATTTCTTATCTTCAGACATTTTATATGCTTATTACTCACTGAGTCGGTAGTACTCACCCCTATTCCCTGCACCTTGTGTGTAGATTTAGGTACACTGGAGGCTTAGCTGAGCAGTCTTTGTTTCCCAGAGCTTATCAGAGTTGTTGAGGTAGCTGCTTGACGTTCGCAGGACCTGACTACTCTTCCTGTTTTAGTTTTATTTATATATACATTTCCAGACTTGAGTATTTTCGTTCAGATATTGTTATTCAGATTGTTTTAGAGGCTCTAGACTCGTGACCCCAGGTCTTTGGGAGTGTTTTATCAGACTTCGTGTTTTTCTTAGTATTATTCTTCGATAAATATTGGATTATTATTTTAAAACTATTATATTCTCTTGAAATTGTCAGTTTTGAGGTTTACGGTTGAATTGGGGACGATTGTGGGTCTGGCTTGCCTAGCAATATTGTTGGGCGCCATCACGACCGGGTTTTGGGGTCGTGACAACCTCGCATTCCTTCTCTCCATCCAAGACTTGATTATTATTGAAGTCAGGTTCCTATAAAAAATTAATAAATAAATGAGTTTGAAATTATGATTCAAATTATGCAATATAAAAGAAATTTGCAATTTAAATATGTTATGAAGTTTGTGAACAAATATGACATACAGTTAAGTCATCTGGAGGTTGATCAGGACTATATTTGTTTATCAGTTGCTCCTCATCCGTAAGCTTAACAACACTATAAACTTCCTTTTGCAGGTGAATGTTCTCTCTCTTGACAATAACCTTAAACATGAATTTTCTTTGGAGAATATTGTTTAGCTCTACTGGATAGGGATACTTATCAACAGCGCCGGTATTCTAGAATGAAATTTTGAGTTAGAATTTTTCAAATAACAAATATGAATTTAATTAGTTGATATACCTCAAGAAACCCTTCCTTCAATTCTTTTGCGGATTTGCCTATGAGAAACATGGTTTCACGGTCCCAGAGCAATAGGGAAACAGATCCAGTAGTATCCATTACCCTAACCTGAAGCTTGTACCTAAATGCACACTTGATTTGAGATATAAATGTAAGTTTTTGATGGATTAAGGAAATAGAGCTGCTGCTTTTACCTAATAACTGCTGAGTAATCTTCATGTTTACATTTGGGGTTTGGAAATTGATAAATGTTTCCTAGTTTATCCACCTTCTTTTGACACTTCTTGCAGCTGACATACGACCATCCTTTTCCAAGTTCTAAATTTTCAATACTTGCGACAATCCAACATGGACCTTCCTGTTGAATAAATTGATAAGACAATTGTTGAATAAATTAATAAGACAAATGTAATGAAAAGACACAGAGAATATGGTCTATCAGAATATCAAAGAAATAACATAAATGTAATTGAAGAATTTTTCATCTTCCAAATGAGCAAACACTCTTTCAAACCATAAAATAAGAGGACTAAAGGCCAAAACTAAACTTGAAATGTAATGTAAAGACATAAAAAAGATAGTCCATGTGGCGACTCATTGACATGAGGAAAGGATAGGTACCTCTATTATATGGATTAGGATTTAGAGGAACTGTGCCGACATGCCGTTGATCGCAAGCAAGGCGAATTAGTTGATATCAATTTGTAGTACTTTGCCACGGATAAGTTGCTTTCTTACATAGCAGAAATTTATATTCTGTCATTTTTTAGTTTAAGATTACAGTGTAGGTACATTGTTTGTTTGATGTTTGTTGTGTTTGTTTATTTGTTTATCAAAGAAAGAAGATAAATGTAATGTAAGAACTTTTCATATTGTAAATGGTCAATCCCTTTTTCAAACCATAAAATAAGAGAAAGGCAAAAAGTAAACTTGAAATGTAATGTAAAGACCTAGAAAAGATGTTCTTTCAGAATATCAAAGAAAGAAGAGAAACAAAGATGTGCATTTTTGCAACTTTTAACATGAAACACCAGTTAAATTAATACTACAGAAGTTAGTTCACTCACTTGCATGGACTCCACTAATTGGCCAATTATTTTAACTTGAACAATGCCCTTCTCCAACTCATCAACTTTGTTGAGAGATGTTTTGAGTCAGCCTCTCGGAGTTATTATCCCGAACAGAAAGTAATCTGTATTTATGAATGACTAAAACAGTTAGATGTATACTTGGAAAATTTGATTTGAGTATAGAAGTAGTGAAATTTTATATATATATATATATATTAAATAGAAATACGAAAAAAAAAAATTGTATTATTATACCAAATCCTTATTTTGTCCTTTATTGTATTGTCCTAAATTTTGCAATAAAAAAGTTTTCGCGGGCGAATATTGACTCTTTCAATCCCTATTTCATTTGTAGGGTTAACTCGTGACTTCTCAGATCTCCGAATACATGAATTAATCTCTGGTTCGTTCCGCCATCCCGACCAGTGAATCATTAAGATTCCTTTTTCAATAGAATCTTTTGCATTCACAAGTTCCGTCGTTCCCATTCACTTCTTACTTAATGGTTAGGTCCGAATTCTACAATGGAGCTCAAATGAAATTGGTTCTTGAGTNTATATATATATATATATATATATATATATATATATATATATATATATATATATATATATATATATATATATATTGAATCGTGTTTTAAATTCGTCAGATTGAGAAAAATTTGGATTAATCCACAGCTTTGATGCATTCCAAGTACTGCGCACAGAATATGAATCTACAAAACAACGTTCCTGTAAGATATAATGAATAACTTTCGCAAAGTAATGTCAAATTGAGTAATTGTATTTTACCTTGAAATTTATGGGCTTTTATGAGCTGCATAACAACAATAATAGGCTGGTTGTTAGAACTTAGCAGATGAGGTACAATTTCATCAACAAACTCGCCCCAAAATGTAGCAGACAACTTCTTCCTCCTGTCAAATAGAAATAAGAATATAATTTTAGCATATGTAATTATCAAATCAATCCTTAATTAGTAGATGAATGTTTATTCTTACTCGTCATCTTCTAGTTCAATATCCATAAACTTCCTAGAAATTCCACCTTGGTTTTGCGTTTGTACCTCACTGAAATTGACAATTTCTCCGATGACATCTAAAGAAAAAGAAATTGTTAAAATAAATAGTAGAAAAGTTCATAATTAGAAATTTAACGTAAAAGTTATATTTACCAAATAATTCAGTCTCGTTCACGTCAACCTTATTTATCAATTGATCATATGGTCGCAAATCAAAGATATTCATTGGGTAAAGTGGATCAGTTGTTTCAGCTACTGTTGTCCGTTGAGTAAACGTCAGCCTCAACATATGTTTCGTGGTGTTGAACTTCTCCTTATTATGACAAACGATAAAGTTCGCCATATGATATAATCCAAGCTCAGTAATTTGTGTTTTGAAAAGATGCAAAACTGACTTGCCAATAGAAGCACTTATCCGATCGCCCTACAAAAAAATTACATTACATAACAGAGATTACAAATTTATAGTAATAGTAATTTATATTAACTCTAGTTTTAAACAGTAGAGTTGAACAAATTAATAAGTGACAGTAATAGAGCAAAAATTCCAGATTTGCAAGTTAAACAAAAGTTTAGAATTGAGAAAAAGATTCCTACTCAACTAATTCCTTCTATGAGCTCACATAAATTGGCTTTCAGCATCATAGCAAAACCACTAAAAGAGAGCATGACTAAGTTAAGATGACAACTGCAGGAAGATACACTCCTTTAACATGTTGTGATAGAACGCCAACTTTACGGGGCAAGATTTTTTAACTTTATTTCCAGATAAGTTAATGGATTTCATAGAAGGCATCAAGAAGATCCAAAATTCAAAATTTTCAGAGCAAAAGAATAGAAAAAAAAAAGATAATGTTAGCTCTGTTACAAAAGGTTAGAATGAAGACACTGGTATGATGTGTTTTATTAGAGCTAACATTGTCTTCTTTGGAACATAATCAAACACACCATGCCTAAATGTATTTTGGAACTTACCACATATAACATTGTCGTTTCATCTTGATTGGCTTGAAATTGTTAGAACAAAAGCTCAATTTCTAAATTTTGTATACTGCTTGTTTGCATAGTTTGCTCTTTTTGTGGAAACTATGCTGAATTTATATCTCTCTTAGGTGAGAATTATAGTATTGAAAATGCTAAGAATATTGGCAAAAGAATAAAGTAATGAGATCTCCAAAAGAAATAGTGGCTGCCCAAAAGTTTTCATGGTAAAATATGAGATCTGCAAGTATGTTTTTGTCACTATTAACTTTCTTCGTTCTTTTATCTTATAGCTACACCAGAAAATGATCATAATTCACAAAGCAAATAAGCATTGGACAAAATAAAATATGTGCACTTATAAAAGATGGATCTATTTTTTAGTAACAACTTTTTCTTTTTTGCAGGTGATGAAGATGTTTCTATGGCTTATTATTTGATGAAAATTCAGAGGGTGTTATTAGTGCTTTGAACGAATATATTTGAACGAATCATTTGTTCAAAACATTTAGTTTCTACCTTTCAACAATATATTTGAACGAATTTGTAAGTCAAAGATACATAATTATTGATTTAGATTTGCAAGTTGAGAAACAGAGAGAACAACTAATAAGCAGAACAAAATTAATCAGATAAGTTATTTGGAACAATTAGTTGTATGATATAATCATACAACAATTTTGAGGAGCAAAACAAATATATCTATAATCATATAACAATTCCGAAAACCAAACCGAATTAGCAAGGTAAAAACATATTTAAAATACCTTTTCATCTTGTAGAACCAATTCAATCGAGAATATAGTGCCTGGATTAAAACGATCCGGTACTTCCCACAAACGGACAACACGAACTTTCAACTTCCATTGCATCTTCGAAATTGTTATATCCTTGATGAAATCAATGTGAGTAGCCATCTTTTGCATAAGACGTAAGTTTTCTTGAAATCTTGATAGAAGAAGGAACATTAGAATTGAAGAACGTGTAGTTGTGGAAGAAATATATATTTGCAGTTTTGAACAGTTGCTACCCAGTATACAAAATCGTGGGTTACACAGTTGAAGCTATCGTGCTTTTGCAGAGAAAATTTAGGGTAAGTTGAAGGTAAAAAATTATTTTCTAATAATGTGGAGTAAAAGGTTTTAACAAATAAAGTTATTTAATAATTTAAAAAAAAATAAAAAATTCAGGAAATTGAAGAGAAGTTCGAACGGTTTTGAAGTGAGAAGGGTTTTGAAGGCTATTCCTATTTTTGAGTAAGCCATCTCATTTTAACAAATAAAATGATTTAATAATTTAAAGAAATTAAAAAATCACAAAATTGAAGAGAAGTTGGAACAGTTTAGAAGTTACGGTTTTGAAGTGTTTTGAACGGTTTTGAATCCTAATAAAAAAAATTGTACTTCCTAATAAAAATAAAATTGTAATTCCTATTTCTACTTCCTAATAATTTGGAGCAATGTTTTAAAGTGCCAAGTGTCTTTTTCGGATTTTGCCACTTGGCTTCATGAGGAGCTTTTGTCTTCTGCTTTTAATTATAGATAGATAGTTACCATATACATAATTCCCCTAGCTACCTTTCAGTTGTTATGGTAATGTATTCGTTGTAGTCGAGCTACTATATTCATGAATACAGTAGCAAAAATCGGCTAAAAAATAGGGTAGTCCAGTTGTCAGCCGCTGTATTCACGTGTATTCATACCATGTATTCATGAATACAACGTAATAATAGGTCTCTCCAGTTGTTTAATAACGGAAAGCTGCTAATTTAATGGATACACTCTTAATATAGCTCACCTAAATCAATTATAACACACAACATTGTCAATCCAATTAATGAGAAGATTTATCAGACGCTAAACACCAAAAAACAAATCATTCTTCAGAGTTTTGGTCCCTCTTTTTTTCTGATACAATTCGAATTTTTTTTCCTGACATTGTTCGAGGTTCATAATAAACCTAGTGTTTGTATTCAATTTTCTGTATATGAATACATAATGTGTTTATGCCGGATACAACATGTAATAATTACCTACTGCCTGCGTATTTCATTATAAACCTAGTGCTTGTATTCTGTTGTAGCTAACAGTTGTGTTCAATGTATTCAAGTTTATTTTGGTATTCACAATATTTTATTTATTCCCAATACATGGTATAACTGCTTTATTGAGTATATTTCATTGCTTGTATTCATTGATTTTCTATTTTTATTGAGAGTATTTTACTATATTATTATTTTAAATACAGATGGATACAGTTAGATTGAAAATACAGATGAATACAGTTAGATTGAATGCATAACTAATTGATGAATAACATCAAAATGATAGACTAACAATGTATTTAAAAATATTGTTGTATGAACTCAAATACATATAAATGTATCCAAATACAAAAGTCAAAAATTAATGTACAAAATAAAAATTAGTGTATGCCTTATCAAATACTATAAACACATCTAAATACAAGAAGAGAATATCATTGTACAAACTAAAAATTAATGTATTCGGACTCGAATACATATAAATACATACAATTAGGTCACTGCGTATTTTTATTCTCCTTTCAACTTCAATGGTTGCTGATGAACCTGCAAATACATGTTCCTCTTGAGTGATTTGCAAATCGAAAGATGGCCCTTCGAAATTGAGTATTCAGCGGGTATTCTGCAGAAAACCTAACAAAGCTTTTATAGTATCGAAAGATGGCACTTCGAAGTTGAGTGCTTTAGAGGGTATTCTGCAGAAAACCTAGCAATGGTGAATATTTAAAAAAAAACTGTTGAAGAGTAAAAGAAGAAGCTTTAACCGGTCAAAAACCCAAAAACTTTAACACTTACCTCAACGTTTTGGAGCAAAAAATATTGAGAATTGAGGGAGAAAATGGCTCTGATAAAGGAGAGAGTTGGGGAGAGAAATTTGGAGCAAAAAATATTGAAAACGGCCATGGCAGCTGCTAGGTCTCCATGTCGCCTAGAGAGAGGAGAGAGAAATAAGATATTATGCGGTGATTTTGGGAGAGAATAAACTGAAAAAATGAGAGAGAAAAATATTAGACAGCGTATTTAACGGCTTAATGGTAGGAAGTGGCCATAAGTACATGTTTTGCTATAAAATCTAAAAGGTAGATATAGAAAATAATAATTTAAAAAGATTTTTATTTATAATAAATAGAGTGTAAAGCTTTGCTATAGAGATAAAATTTTCAAGAATTAAAACAATTAATATGGACAGCTATTTATGTAAAGATCCCTATAAAGTGGAGGTACTAGTGAGCCCATCAAGGAAGAGAGGAGGAATTTTAATAAAGAACTACATTTTAGACCTAATTATCATATGTAACTGTAGTTTGATTAGTTACCATTTATAGCTACTTTTAAATTGTTACCAGCTTGTATCACTCATATTCATTCGCTCTAAATGGTTGTATCAATGCATACAATACAATAAAATACAATCATGTAGTCGCACGGATTCGGTGTTTATTTTTTCTAGTCGGTATACATAAATTATATACTGATTATACATATATATACTGATTATACATATACACACATACATATATATATATATATATATATATATATATATATATATATTACTTTTAGTATATTACTTTTAGTTTAAGCGATTGAGTGAGCCAATATTTAGGTTAATTTATTTGCACTCCATTTTTATTTTTAATGTGATAGTATTTGAAAGTAAACGGAATTTAAAATATTAATTTGGCTTATATGATAAATGATGATGGAAGAAAATATTAAAGTATTGTTGAAAGTGATAAACATCACACTAAAGTTAAAATATGAGTTACTTAATACATTTAAATTCATGAAAATTATGTAAGCGGTAGAGAAATAGGTGGTGTCAAACATATTGGGATGTCTCTAAATTGATAGAGTGTGATACATGTCGGATGAACACGCTTAACGAGGATAATTTTCAAGTCAAACATCATAGCATTGGAGTATTTTAAAAGAGTCAAGATTAAGAAGGTTATATTAGCAATTTAGCTATTTAGGCTAGTCTTATAAAGCTAAGGGTATTATGGTTATTTACCCTAAATAATACTCTAGTATAAATAGTCCCGGGGCTTTGGATTGCATTCTTTACTCAACTTAATATGTGTTTCTTATTAGTGTTCTTCCTCGATTAGTGTTTATCATAGTATATTCAAGGGGTCTAACTAATGCGTAGTTAGGTTCTTGTCTTTCTCTATTTTAAACCCTAATCTTCAATCTTTTGATTCCGTATATTTTTGTATTATCCGTATTTTCGATACGTTTCCGTATCAGAGTGTTTTACAAAATTGAATAAGGATGGAGTGTTTTTATTGTCTCAATTTTTATGACATATTGTTAGTTTAAAACATCGCAAAATAGTTTTTTTTCGCTATAAAGGAAATTGGAATTTTTATATATTTAATACTGAAAGTTATTTAACAGATTACAAATCATAGGTAAGTCTCGTGGGACATTTAAGTTTTCCGTACCGGCTAACCTTTTACAAAATGTTTTTTTTTTTGTTTTTTCTAATGAAAGAAATACTTTATAATTAAAAGCATAATAAGTTCAGTTATTACATAATATAGGGGTAGAACGCATAGCGATTGTCCCCAATCTGTCTTTATTGAAAGCATGTAAAATAAATTCCGGAGGAGTTTCCCACAATATTGTAATGTCTCCCTCCGTTGTTGATGGTTGCATGGATCATCCATACTTTTCTAAAGCGTCAGCCACAGAGTTGTCTTCCCGATATATATGAGTTATAGCCTCCAATCCAACAGTATCAAGAAGAAAACTACAATCATTAAGAAGATGTGAGTTTCTATGTTGTTCAACCTTAAATAAATTACACTATACATGTGAATTTGTTTCCACTATAATTGAAAAGAGAATTTTTTTGAATAAGAGTTCCAATCCTGCTAGTAGTCCAAGAAGCTCAGCATGAAAGGCGGATATTGCAATCGACTTCTATGCAAAACCCACGACCCATGAACCATTGTGGTCTTTGATGAGTCCCTCAGTACCACTGGTTTGGCTATTTGGATCATAAGCACCATCAATGTTTAGCTTGTAAAGACTCGTAGGTGGTGGTAACCACTTTATTGTCACTTGTAGCCAGGGGTTTGAGGTTGTTGTAATCGAAGTGAGTGATATGAATTTTTCTACTTGTAGCATAGTTTTTTTATGGCATGTAGTGGTTGAAATATGGTTAAAGAGGTTTGAGTTCCTGTTAATCCATATGTTCCATAGGATGAAAGGCAGTAGGGTGGAGTATGGAGTTTTAAAGGAGTCATTTTGTGTGTGGATGGTAGTATCTTTGTTGCACCTATCATTCAGCCAATTGGCAAGGTTTTGTGATTGAGGTATGCGTAACTTGAACAAAGGCCATAAATGGCAGGAGTGTTTGCATGCGAAGAAGATGTGGTTTATGTCCTCCACTATATCTGGGCAGAATTGGCAAAAGTTTGATTGAGGTACATTTTTTTTGTACGGAAAATCCCTAGTAGGGAGTTTGTGGTGTACAAGTAGCCACAAGAAAAATTTCAGTTTATTCAAACACTTGAAATGCCAAAGCCAAGGGTTATTTGCAGGGGTAGGCAATGGAAGTTGGTTAGTGATTTGGAGTTGGAGAAAATAGGCTGACTTGGTAGTAAAACTGCCAAGGGGTGTTTGATTCCGAATGATTGGTCGGGTTTGTTGGTTGAGAATGGGATGTAAATGCATTCAATTTGTTCTACTATATCAAGATGTAAGGATAAGGATAATCTGTCAAGAAACCACGAATGGTTAGATATAAGTGATGATACTATCAATTGTTTCTCCATGTGGTGTAGGGGTCCCTAGATCGTTTGTGCAGACAGTTATGATTTTGAAAGCCAGTTGTCATTCTAGAGGCTTACATTCGTTCCATCCCCTATGTTCCAAGAGAATCCTGCTTGGAAGAGACCAATGGGTTTGGTCATGCTTTTCCATATGTATGAATAAGATGGCTTGGTCTTATATGTCCTTATTCGTCTATCCTGAACATATTTTGCTTGAAGAATTATTACCCACAAGGAGTTTGCACTCCTATGGAAGCGCCATAGTAACCCTGCTAGCATTGCATAATTTTTATCAATTGTTTCTTCCCCTTTCCTCTTCTCCTCCCTTCTTAACCTAACAGCAGGTTTCCGGCGAGTGGCGAGCAGTCCAGCAACCACCCCACGCCGATGTCGTTCCTTCTGTCTTCTCTTCTTTATACCTTTCTTTGTCCGCTGTGTCTCATCTCTGTCGTTGTTCCCCGGCGACATCAGACCGGTCCGGCGAGTTCAATTGGGCCACCACTAGATCCGTGTACCACCTGTGGTGAGGGTGACAACCCTACCATCATCTATTTTTCTGGGTCCTGTGGTGTGTTGTGAGTGCTGCAGGTATCATTTTTGTGGTTGTTTGGTGATGGGAGGGAGGTGCATGCGCAAAAGCAGCAAAGCAAGTCGGTTGGTAGGAACAAGGAGTGAACATCGGGTTCTACATCATCGGGAATATACCAAGTCGAAAGTCCAGGTTATATTTGTGGGAATTGGTACCTCCCGCCTCCTGTTTCTCTCTCTCCTGTGTTAGTTGATTTGTTGTTGTCGTAGTACGTAATTAGTTTAGTCAATTTAGTAGTGGACCTATATTCCCATTTTTTCATAGACTTTCATAGGTATAGCAGCTGTGGTTTGTAATGGCAATGTAGGGTCATGTCCTCGGGGAGGGCGAGTGACGGGGCGGGGGTTACGGCAAGGGTCAGGGGGTGGGACGGGGTCTATAGAGGGTAAGGGGAACAACGGTGCCTATAGGTTGAGAATTGGATCGTGGAATATAGGAACATTGACGGGTAAGTCTATAGAGCTGACAAAGATTCCCCAGAAAAGAAAGGTCAATATAGCTTGTGTTCACGAGACTAGGTGGATAGGATCGAAGGTGAGGAATGCCAACGGGTATAAGTTGTGGTACTTCGTAGGCGTGAAGGGCAAGAACGGAGTGGGTATTTTGGTGGATAGGGAGCTTAGAGAGTTAGTTGTAGAGGTTAGGCATGTGAGTGACAGATTGATGACGATTAAGTTAGTAGTTGGAGGAAGCACTGTGAATGTCATTAGCGCTTACGCGCAGCAAGTGAGCTTGGACGATGAGGTTAAAAGGCGATTTTGGGAGGCATTGGATGAGGTGGTGTGGGGTACTCCGCCTATGGAGAAGTTATTTATAGGAGGGGATTTCAATGGGCATATTGGGTCGTCTACTGGTGGCTATGGTGAGGTGCACTGCGGCTTCGACTTCGGGTTAGGAACGGAGGAGGCACTTCACTGTTGGATTTTGATAGAGCTTTTGAGTTGGTGATCGTGAACTCTATTTTTTCGAAGAAGGAGGAGCATTTGATTACTTTCCGAATTATGATGGCTAAGACTCAGATTGATTATCTACTTCTCAGGAGGTGTGATAAGGGGTTGTGCGAGGATTGTAAGGTGACACAACATAGACTCTTGGTGATGGACATCGGTATCTTGATAAAGAGGAAAAAGAGGTGTGTACGGGATCAACCGAGGATCAGGTGGGGAGCCTTGACTAAGGATACTGCGTCGGAGTTGGAAGGGAAGTTGGGGACGATGGGAGCCTGGAAGAGTGGTGGAGATGCTAGCGGTATGTGGATGGCGGCGACAGATTGTATAAGGGAGGCGGCGAGAGAGGTGTTAGGGGTCTCGAAGGGATACTCAGGTAGGCACCGAGGCGACTGGTGGTAGAATGACGTGGTCCAGAATAAAGTGGAAGCAAAGAAAGCGGCTTACCTTAATTTAGTGGAGAGCACCGACGAGGAGCATAGGAGAGAGAAAGATATAAGGAAGCTAGGAGGGAGGCGAAAGTAGCGGTCACGGAGGCTAAGACTGCTGCGTTTGGGCAGCTGTATGAGGAATTGTGGGTAAAGGTGGGGACAAGAAGTTATTTTGGCTGGCCAAAGTGAGACAGAGAAAGGCTCGTGATCTGGATCAAGTGAGGTGCATCAAAGACGAGGAAGGTCGTGTATTGATGGAAAAGGACTAAATTAAGTAGAGATGACAGTTGTACTTTCATAGACTTCTGAATGAAGAGGGAGACAGAAACATCGTGTTAGGGGAACTGGGGCACTCCGAGAGTCACCAAGACTTTAGGTATTGTGGGCGTATTAAGGTGGAAGAGGTCGTGGGAGCAATGCGTAAGATGAGCCGGGGCAAAGCGACTGGACCAGACGAGATTCCAGTAGAATTTTGGAGGTATGTGGGTAGAGCATGTTTGGAATGGCTGACTGACCTGTTTGATGTTATTTTCAGGACGAAGAGGATACCAGATGAGTGGAGGTGGAGTACGATGATCTCGCTGTACAAGAACAAAAAGGATATCCGGAATTGTAACAACAATAGGGTTATTAAGTTTCTAAGTCATACCATGAAAGTTTGGAAGAGAGTGGTGGAAGGGAGGGTAAGGAGGGCGGTGTCAATATCAGAAAACCATTTTGGGTTCATGCCAGGTCGTTCTACTACGGAAGCTATCCACCTTATCAGGAGGTTGGTGGAACAGTACAGAGATAAGAATAGGGATTTGCACATGGTATTTATTGATCTAGAGAAGGCGTATGACGAGGTCCCTAGGAACGTTATTTGGAGATGCCTGGAGGTGAAAGGTGTGTCGGTATCTTATATTAGGGCGATAAAGGATTTGTATGATGGATCTAAGACTCAGTTTAGGACTGTGGAAGGGGACTCAAAGCCTTTTCCAGTGGTTATGGGGTTACACCAAGGATCTGCACTCAGCCCGTTCTTATTTGCTCTGGTGATGGATGCACTGACACACCATATTCAAGGGGTGGTGCCATGGTGTATGTTGTTCGCTGATGATATAGTTATGATTGATGAGACGTGAGGCGGCATTAATGAGAGACTGGAGGTATGGAGGCAGGCCCTGGAGTCTAAAGGTTTCAAGTTGAGTAGGACCAAGACGAAATATTTAGAGTGTAAGTTCAGCGATGTTTCAGGGGAAGCGTACGCGGAGGTGACATTTGACTCGCAAGTCATCCCTAAGAGAGAGAGTTTCAAGTACCTAGGGTCAATTATCCAGGGAAATGAGAAGATCGATGGGGATGAAATGGAGGTTAGCGTCTGGGGTCCTATGCGATAAGAAGGTGCCACTAAAACTTAAAGGTAAGTTCTATAGAGCGGTGGTTAGACCGGCCATGTTGTATGGGGATGAGTGTTGGCCAGCCAAGAATTCTCATATACAGAAGATGAAAGTATCCGAAATGAGGATGTTGAGATGGATGTGTGGGCAAACTAGGCTCGATAAGATTAGGAATGAAGATATTCGGGATAGGGCGGGCGTGGCTCCTATGGACGTCAAGATGCGGGAAACGAGGCTTAGATGGTTCGGGCACGTGTGGAGAAGTAGCCTAGATGCTCCGGTTAGGAGGTGTGAACGATTGACTTTGAGAGGTACAAGAAAAGGTAGAGGGCGGCCTAAGAAGTATTTGGGCGAAGTGATTAGGCAGGACATGGCTCAACTTCAGATTTCCGAGGACATGGCCCTGGATAGGGAGGTGTGGAGGTCAAGCATTAGGGTTGTAGGTTAGGGGGTGGTTGAGCGTTTTTCCAGCTAGTCTGATAGTATTTTGTCTAGGTCTGCTATTGGTTTTTGTTCATCACGCGATTTTTGTTCCCAATATTTATTTTTTTCAATTTTATTATTAGCATACTTATTGTCCTTCTACTTATTGTCTCTTACGGTGCTGATACTATTTGTCTAGTTTCCGTTGTTATTACATATCTTGTCTCTGAGCCGAGGGTCTCCCGGAAACAGCCTCTCTACCCCTCCTCTCCCCCCTGGGGGTAGGGATAAGGTTTGCCTACACTCTATCCCCCCCTCCCCAGACCCCACTAGTGGAATTGTTACTAGGTTGATGTTGTTGTTGTTGTTTTACATAGTCCCAGTCCCCCAACCGATTTTAGTGTGGTAACAATCTCCCAGTTAGCAAGGTGTACTTTTTTTTCCCGGAGTTGATCTCCAAAGAAAATTTCGTTGGATACGGCCTATGTGATTCCTAGTGGAGGTTGGTAGTAGATTGTTTTGCATGGAGTAGTTAGGGAAAGTTGTTTAACAGATTACAAATCACAGGTAAGTCCCGTGGGACATTTAAGTTCCCCGTACAGGCTAACCTTTTACAAAATGTTTTTATTTGCTAATGAAAGGAATATCTTATAATTAAAAGCATAATAAGTTCAGTTATTACATAATATAGGGGTAGATCGCATAGCGATTGTCCCCAATCTGTCTTTATTGAAAGCATGTAAAATAAAGTCTGGAGGAGTTTACTAGAATATCGTATTTTCTCCCTCCGTTGTTGATGGTTGTATGGATCATCCATACTTTGCTAGAGCGTCAGCCACAGAGATGTCTTCCCGATATATATGAGTTATAGCCTCCCATCCAACAATATCAAGAAGAAAACTGCAATCATTAAGAAGATGTGAGTATCTATGTTGTTCAACCTTTAAATAAATTACACTATACATGTGAATTTGTTTCCACTATAATTGAAAAGAGAATTTTTGTGAATTAGAGTTCCAATCCTGCTAGTAGTCCAAGAAGCTCAGCATGAAAGGCGGATATTGCAATCGACTTCTATGCAAAACCAACGACCCATGAGCCATTATGGTCTCTGATGAGTCCCCCAGTACCACTGGTTTGGCTATTTAGATCATAAGCACCATCAATGTTTAGCTTGTAAACACTCGTAGGTGGTGGTAACCACTTTATTGGCACTTGTAGCCAGGGGTTTGAGGTTGTTGTAATCGGAGAGAGTGATATGAATTTTGCTACTTGTAGCATAGTTTTTTATGGCATGTAGTGGTTGAAGTATGGTTAAAGAGGTTTGAGTTCCTGTTAATCCATATGTTCCATAGGATGAAAGGCAGTAGGGTGGAGTATGGAGTTTTAAAGGAGTCATTTTGTGTGTGGATGGTAGTGTCTTTGTTGCACCTATCCTTCAGCCAATTGGCAAGGTTTTGTGATTGAGGTATGCGTAACTTGAACAAAGGCCAAAAATGCAAGGAGTGTTTGCATGCAAAGAAGATGTGGTTTATGTCCTCCACTATATCTGGGCAGAATTGGCAAAAGTTTGATTGAAGTACATTTTTTTGTACGAAAAATCCCTAGTAGGGAGTTTTGGTGTACAAGTAGCCACAAGAAAAATTTCAGTTTCTTCAAACACTTGAAATACCAAAGCCTAAGGTTATTTGCAGGGGTAGGCAATGGAAGTTGGTTAGTGATTTGGAGTTGGAGCAAATATGCTGACTTGGTAGTAAAACTGCCGAGGGGTGTTTGGTTCCAGAATGATTGGTCGGGTTTGTTGGTTGAGAATGGGATGTAAATGCGATTAATTTGTTCTACTGTATCAGGAAGTGAGGACAAGGATAATCTGTCAAGAAACCACGAATGGTTAGATATAAGTGATGATACTATCAATTGTTTCTCCATGTGGTGTAGGGGTCCCTCGATCGTTTGCACAGACAATTTTGATTTGAAAGCCAGTTGTCATTCCAGAGGTTGACATTTGTTCCATCCCCTATGTTCCAAGAGAATCCTACTTGGAATAGACCATTGGCTTTGGTCATACTGTTCCATATGTATGAATCAGATGGCTTGGTCTGGTATGTCCCTATTAGTCTATCTTGAACATATTTTTCTTGAAGAATTATTATCCACAAGGAGTTTGCACTCCTATGGAAGCGCCATATTACACCATGCTAGCATTGCATGATTTTTATCAATTGTTTTATATAGTCCCAGTCCCCTAACTGATTTTGGTGTGGTTACAGTCTCCTAGTTAGCAAGGTGTACTTTTCTTTTTTTTCCGGAGTTGATCTCCAAAGAAAATTTTTTTGACGGTTTATGTGATTCCTAGCGGCGGTTGGTAGTAGATTATTTTGCATGGAGTAGTTAGGGATGGTGGCCAGGACTAAGTGTATGAGGGTGGTTCTTCATGCCATGTTGAGAGATTTTGCTTTCTAGCCTGAAAGTTTGTTGTTCATTTTATTGATGATGAATTGATAATCCTTGCCTTTTGGGAAGTGGTTTGTTAGGTGAAAGCCAAGGTATTTACCAAAATTAGTGGACTGGCAGATGTTTAGAGCACTAGTTAAACAATCTTGTGTGGTGATGAGAATATTATTGGAGAATAATACTTTTTGGATTTGGAGAAGTCAACTTTTTGCTCTAATTGGAGGTGAAGTTAATTGAATATATTTATAATAGTGCTGGAGTTATGTAGGTCAGCACGTGAGAATAATATAAGGTCATCCGCAAAAGCATGTGTG